CACCTTCATCACCATCATCATCGTCATCATCATCATCATCGTCATCATCATTATCATCATCATCATTATAATTGATCTTATTATTATTGTTGTTATTTTCTTTATAACAAGTTTTTTTTTATACACTAGAAAGATGATTGTGGTAATGATAAAAGTGATATTAGCAATACCAGTGACTGTTGATATTAATGATAATATTGTAAATGTTATTATGATAATGATGATGTAGGTGCTCAAGATGATGAAAATTATTACGAAAATTATGAAGACGATAATAAAGATAATAATGATGATGATGATAAAGATAATGATAATGATAATAACAATAATGATGATAAGAATATTAATGATCATCTTAATGACAATAAAGATAATGATAATTATAATAATAATTATAATAATGATAATAATACCAATAATTAAAATGATAATGATAACAATAATGATAAATGTAATAGCAATGATGGTGATGTTGGTGATAATAAAGTTTATAATGATGATAACAATAATGGTAATGATGATAACAATAATTTTAATGATGATGACGATGATAATGATAATAGTGATAATAATAACTCTCTATATCTATCTATCTATCTATCTGTCTTCTCTCTCTCTCTCTCTCTCTCTCTCTCTCTCTCTCTCTCTCTCTCTCATCTCTCTCTAGTCTCTCTCCCTCTCTTTCCTCTCTCTCCTCTCTCTCTTCTCTTTCTCCCACCCTCTCTCTATCTATCTATCTATCTATCTATCTATCTATCCATCTCTCTCTCTCTCTCTCTCTCTCTCTCTCTCTCTCTCTCTCTCTCTCTCTCTCTCTCTCTCTCTCTCTCTCTCTCTCTCTCTCTCTCTCCAACACTCCCCCCCTCCCTTCCCCCCTCCCTCCCTCCCTCCCTCTCTCGCTAATTTTAAATAAACATTTAAATATTATAATGCAGTTCTCCCAACACTTTCAGAAGTAGGAACCTCTTGCCGAAAACAATTAAATTATAAACACTGCTCTTGCATCTTAACAAAAACGTTACACTTTCGTCGTTGCCATAGAAACCAGATTGTCTTGCGTCACAGATTTCAACAGTTTGAATTTAAGATTAAGACACCCTCCCCTCCCACCCCCCACCCCCCACCCCAAAAAAAAAAGAAGATGAAAAAAAATAAGGAAGAGTGATGAAATGAAATGAAAAAAAATAAGTGATAATCTTAATACAGCTTGAAGAGAAAAAAAAAATTAAGTTTGTAATCCTTATTCAGAATATACTGGTTTTGCTTCTGTTCAGTTCACACCGGTTTTTTTTTTTTATAGCTCCATTACTGTATTTGTAGCCAGTCACTGTTAGATATCTGGCTTAATAACGGGTCATTGCGAAATAACGAGCTTAAGGAGTTGTTAATGAGATAATTTTCTCTTCTTTATTCAAAAGGGAATTGTGTTATTCAAGACCCACACTTGCGTAATCTGTTTTTTTGTTTCTGTTTGCAAAGATGAATTGTGATTTTTTAATCAGTCTTTTAGGTCTTTGTCTCTCTCACTCTCTCTTTCTATCTATTTATCTCTATTTCTCTCTTTCTTTCACTCTTACTCTCTTTTACTCTTGCTCTCTTTCACTTTCACTCCCTCCCTCTCTCATCCTCCCTCTCCCTTCCTTCCCTCCCCCATCCTCCCTCTCCCTCCTCCTTCTCTCCATCTCTCCTTCCCCCTCCCTACCCCTCTTCCATTTGCCTACGCCATCATTTTTGGTACATAAGGAGGGAATTACAGCATGTTTATTCAGTCACCTCAGTCATCCCACTCGATAAGTAGTTGTTTACGCAAGCAACAGGTCACCACCACACGCCAGAGTTTGTTCCTGACCTTCTAAGTCGTCAGCAACAGAAGCTTATGCCAGCTCCTTTTGTCATGAAGGGGAACCGGGGATGTCACTACGTTGTCAAATACGTCATCAGCCTAATTATTTTACTTTTTTTTTTTTTGTGGCGTCATCACTAAGTCATCTTTTTTATTTTTCGCAGTCGTTACATCATTATTCCCTTTCGCCGTACTCGTAATACATTAAACGTCATGCCCTATTTTCACAATCGTGACGTCTTCGATACGTCATCATTCCCTTTTTCCTCGCCATCATGGCGTCATCAAAACGTCACTATTTTTTCTCTCCCGCAGTCGTGACGTCACAACCAGCTTCCCCCCCCCCTCCTAGAGGCCCCTTTGGGTCAGCCTCAACCACCGGTCACGCGCGAAGGAAGGCCAGGCTGACAGGCGCAGACGTAGGGGCGGAGGCACGGAACCTGACGCCGGTGCTGACGCCGCTGACGTTGGCGAGGACGAGAGGATGTCGGCGCATTTGTGAGCCGCGAGAGACACACAGGCGAGACACCGTGGGAAATCTCCGGGCGGCCATCTTGCTGTCGTCGGCGCCATGGATATAACACGGAGCATTCAGGTGATTTTTTCTTTTCTCGTTCTTCTTTTTTTTTCCTTCTTCGGTTTATTTCCGTTTGTCTG